AGTGCTGAGGGATCTGGTGGAGTTGGGAACGGTCAGTGTGAGGGTCATGGTTGGACTGGAGGAGCTTCAAGGTCTTTTCCAACTGAGATGATTCTGTGATTCTGTGGTTAGTGTGAGATGTGAACCCCACCATAGGCAGGGCGGGAGTTTGCTCTGGGAAAGATGAGCTCAGAGACAGCATCACCTCTCCCAGAAATACCGGCATCCTCTGACAGTGAGGAAATGTTTGCAGGTGGAGGTTTCATCTTCTCTTTCCCTTGTAAGCCTGGTTCAAGCCCAGCAGCCTGAAGCACCAGCAGCAGCGGGGTTGTGGAATGAGCCCAGCTGCCACATGGGTTTAACCTGGCTCACTGAGCTTAAACGCTAAAGCCAGAGCAGTTCACTCACTCTCTGGGTTCAGCAGGGCACATTCCTTGCCAGGGAGGGGGAGTCTGTCCTGCATTTTGTGCCTAGTTCACTTTGGCAACTGCTTTTCCCCAGGTTTCATCACGCCCACCTATAAATAACTCCTAAAACCACCTCTGTAGGTGATAATTAATTGGAGAGGCGCTGCATGGCTGTGCCAACTAAAAGTACCTGGCTTGCTGGTGTCAGGTCCCTGCCATCCTCTGGGCAGTGCTGGGGACAGGAGCTGGCTGATGGGCAGCATGTCACGGGATGGGATGTCTCCAGTGTCAAGTGCCAGGCTCACTGGGATGCTGCCTGGGTGTCTGCAGGGATGCTGCAAGTACAACTCTGGAGAATATGGCAGGGGCCACGGCATGTCATGGGGCAACCTCAACTGCTTCCTGCAGGGACTGGCAAGGACCAGTATTACCCCTGCCTCTCTCCCCAGGCTTTCAGGGAGAAGGGCAGAGCACTGGACCATCACAGTCATCACACCTGCAATCCCAAAGCAACCTTGTTTGTGGATGTGTGTGGTTTTGGGGTGGGGATTTTTTGGTTTTTAAATGAGGCTGGTGCTGCTCCTGGCAGGTCAGCATCCCTCATCCACACTCCTACGGGAAGCAGGCACACACACTGCACTTGCTCATCTCAATCTGTCAGTGCTTTCCCACAGCGGTAAACAAGGCTGAAAGGGAAAGGTTTGGGAGCTCCTCTGTGAAACCCCCAAACTGGAGTCATGGCTGGCTGCTGACAGCAATAAGTATTTACTTCTGGAAAAGGTACCCAAAAGACATGTTTTTTTAAAAAATGAGTTAAATAGTTGCAGGTTTGAGTGTGTGAGCATCCAAGTGAGAATGCACAGGGCAAAGCAGCACCAGGACCCATCTGTGGGTGTCCTGGCCCCAGGGATCCCTACACAATGGGAGGAGGACGGAGTGCTCATTTGCAGGTCGCTGCCATTTCTTACTCTGTCCTTGAGTAACGATCGTATTTAATTTATCAGCATGTCTTGAAAGCGGCAAGCCCCCCTCTGAGTGCTGTGTCCCTGTGGGCCAAGGGTCTTCTTGGACCCACACATCTGGGAGGTGGACGAGCCTGAGAGCTGCCTGGAGCTCCCATGGCAGTAGAAAAAGCTCACTGTTGCCCTCAGGGACAGGAGGGCTGGGGTGAGGCTGCAGAAACCCTGTGGCTGCAGAAAAATGTCAGCAATTCCTGTAATTTCCCGTGGTCTGGATGGTGGGAAGCAGACAGAGATGCCTACGGGATCCTCCTACTGGAGTCAGGATTGCTGTGTCCCCCAGGACACACCCATCACCCAGCCAAGGAGGCTCTCGACCATGTTTTGCAGCCAGGAGGGTCCAAGGGTCACCAGAAGATCCACTAGCAGCACGGACTTGCACTGCTTTTTTTCTCCCAGCATTACTGTTGCAAGCCTGGATATTAAAATCCAGGCAAAATAAAAGAAACAAAGTCCCTGACTGGGAGTGGAAAGTAACTCTGCTCTCCTTTCATAGCTCTGAAGGGGTGCTATGCGAGGACTCGGTGGTGCTGAGAAGCTGCTGGAGACAGGAGGTGTTTGTACCTCCTTTCTCCAAGGGCAGCAAAGGGATTTTGACTGCTGTCTTTTGGCAGGTGTTTAAAAGCAGAGATTGGAAGGGTTTGCTGGAAAAGCTCAGGCTGCAGTGCCTGGAACCCTGGGGTGTTGTGGGCCCTGTGCAGCTCAGGGACAGGAGCAATGGCTGGTCCTGCCTCAGTTCCCCCTTCTGGGAACGACCCAGTTTCAGCTCTGTTGCTTAGAAATACATTGTGGCTAGTGATTTCACCTTCTCCCAGTAAAGGAAGCAGGGGCTTGAGGCTCTCTGCCCTGCTTAAGGGGCAGCATGGCTCTATATGGAACCAAATTATGGGGCAATAAGAGGGGACAGCATCCCCAGCAAAACTTCCTGTGAGAAGGGTTGGGAAAGCTGTTGCGGTGATGCTGCAGCCCCTTCGGCTCCCTCCTCTGCACCAAAGCTGCTTATCCCATGCAGTTTGGCTCCTAATTCACTCTGCAAATCATATCTGGGCAGGAGGGTCTGTATTCCCAGAGCACAGGGGGATAAACAGGTTGTTATCAACTTCCCCCGACTCACCTGGGCTGGCTTGGTGGAGAATGATGGACTGGTTCTTTCTCCCTGCCATTAGCGATATTGGAGTGTCCTCTGCTGGGCACAGTGTGTTGTCCAGTCCCAGGCCTGCACGTCCCTGAAGGCCTCTCTCTCCTTTCTCTGGTGAGCCAAGGGAAAATAAAGAGCAGGACAAACTAGTCGAGGCTAAGGAGAGCAAGGGATACCTGGCTTCTGCTGCTGTTTTGCTTTGGCTGGTAAAGATCTTAAAAAAATTAAATGAAAGCCATGGGATGGGCATTTTGATTCTTCCACCCTTTCTCACAGATAATTTTTTTCACCTACACAAGGTTTTGAGTTTTGGGAAAAAAAAACAAACCGAACAGCTGCAATCAGGACTTTTTTTCTTTCTTTTTTTTTTTTTCTTTTTAATTCTGTTCATCCAATCTGAAATTAAGGGTTTTTTCTATTGTCCATGCAGAAAAAGTCACTGGATCGATCCAGAGCCTCTTCACAGCAGTTTACTTCTCTGTAAGGGCATTTTAAAGTGGTTTTTTTTGCATCAGACAGCTGCTGGAAGCCAGTCCCATGCTCAGAGATGACTGAAACCACTGCTGTTGGTGGTGTGATGGGCACTGCAAGGTCTCACTGGCTCTCGTTTTCCGAGGCACAGGCACGCTGCTGTCACCTGGCTCCAGTCGAGACTGTGGGGACAGCCAGAGCTGTCACTTCATGAACAGGAGGAGCCACAAAAGCTGCATTTTAAACACAAGTCAGCTCTTACGCACCATGGGGACTTTCTGTATGTCCCAAAGCGGAGTTTCATTCTGTTTACCAGGGGCAGGAGGAGGGGAGAGAAAGGTACAGGATGAAAAGCAACAGTCGGCATCAGTTCTGGATGGGTTGCAAGTGGAGTGCATGCCCATGAGAATCAGGCTCTGCGACGGGGACAGGCTGAGGAGGAGAGGGACTGTCTTCTTAAACATAACAGCTATTTCAAACAGCAGTACAAAATAACAGCAGTAACAAAATAACTCATCAGGACACCTGTGCTGCCGTGATCTATGCAGATGCCCCGGGCTGTTCGGAGCCCTAGAATTTAACTAATCATTACAGAATCACAGAATCATCTCGGTTGGAAAAGCCCTTGAAGCTCCTCCAATCCAACCATGACCCTCACACTGACCATTCCCAACTCCACCAGATCCCTCAGCGCTGGCTCAACCCGACTCTTCAACCCCTCCAGAGATGGGCCTCCCCCCCAGCCCTGGGCAGCCCATTCCAACGCCCAACAGCCCCTTCTGGGAAGAAATGCTTCCGAAGAGCCAGTCTGACCCTGCCCTGGTGCAGCTTGAGGCCATTCCCTCTTGTCCTGGAGCTTGTTTCTTGGTTCAAGAGACTCATCCCCCCTCTCTGCACCCTCCTTTCAGGGAGCTGTAGAGGGCGATGAGGTCTCCCCTCAGCCTCCTCTTCTCCAGACTAAACCCCCCCAGTTCCCTCAGCCGCTCCCATCAGACCTGTGCTCCAGACCCTGCACCAGCTCCGTTGCCCTCCTCTGGACACGCTCGAGTCATTCAATGGCCTTTTTGTGGTGAGGGGCCCAAAACTGAACCCAGTCATCGAGGTGTGGCCTCACCAGTGTAATGTTAAATGTTACAGGTTTTTTCTGTCTTGTTCCATCCGCAGTAGTGGGGCCTGTGGCAGCATCAGGATGTAACCTCTCAGCATGGACCAAGTCACCAAGCAGTAAGACAGTAATGCTTGAGAAATGGCCCTTGTGACTGAGGTGGCTTTCACACCATGGGGTACTGAATCTTCCCCTTCTCCAGCTCTCTCTCCATGATGGAGTAAGGGTCCAGCCCTGTATCTCTAAACTCAGAAAACACAAGAGCCATTATTGTTAGTATCAGGGATTTATTTATAGGACTGGGATTTGGGTCTTTCCCTGAACATCACTTGCAGAGTAAATCAGTTGGGTTCTATAAATTTTGCTTACAAAGGTCTTATCACCTAACAGGTAATCTCCAGATACAGCACTCTGCCTGATGGGGAACTTGGGTGAAACAGCAGTGGCTCTACAACCACTTCCCTGCTGAAACCTTAACTTTGTTCATGGTATTGTATACACACATACAAAACCCATTTAAGATGTGCATCTAGCTTGGCTTATGTGACACGTATTGTCAGTGAATAACATTTGCCTCTTCTACAACAACGGCTATACAGGGATTTCAAAGTGCTTGATAAACCTGTCTTAGACCTTGAAGCAAAGTCTTATGAAATCCCTATGTATCTCCATTGCATATAGAAGTAAAAAAAGTCACCATGATTACTCCATACACCAAGATGTGGAAGCCAGGAGCCTTGGACTTCACACTAATATCTTCCCAAGTGACTGAAGCACTGCTCTACAAATTATTTTAACAACTGATTCTTAATTAAAGGCAAAAATCATATCAGTGAAACAATTCCTCCCATGGTGCTAGTTTAAAGGAATGCTATTATTTCTTGACTGAAAGTTGGCAATTGTTTTAGTGAAATGTGAGATGTTCTCTGATCCTTCTGGGCTGGAGCAGAGGCCTTATCTCCTACCACCAGTTTCGTCTGCTAGTGGGACTTTGATTTGGTTGGCTTTTTTGTTCTTCCCTTCTTACAGCAGAGCCTGCGGCAGCAGAACAGGCAGCACTTCAGAGAAATTAAGAGGGAGAGGAGGACCACAGTGAGGAGGAAGGCAATGACATCCAGGGAGTGGTACTGGATCCAGTTCAGGTCATGGGCAGCAGGTCGCAGGTGTGGGGCCCCTTTGTGTCTCATTACAAACTCCACCCAATGCACAGCCAGGTCCAGAGGGTGGATGGGTCTGTCGAGGTGAAGGTCTGAGAGACGCTTGATGTTCTCTTTGTACCTGTCAAGAAATGTTGTTGGGTGTTTTCAATGACTTGTGCTTCTGAGACTGAGTCCCAGAAAAAAAGGGACGCAGTGTCAGTTATCTGATGGCCCACTGGGGGCTTCTCTGGTGGTGTTTCCCCACCACCACCACCCCATGAGAGGGATAATGGCAAAGTTATAGGCCCAGAAAAGTGCAGTTTTCAATAGGAAAAAAAAAAAAAAAAAGGAAAGCTATTAGAATAAATAGAAAAAGCTTAGTTTGAGCTGTCAGCTAAATCTCTGGGGTGAAGGTATCTGGCTGAAATGTGAGACTGGGTGTACAAAAGCTGTCCAGCTTTTCAAGATCAAGATCAAGATGCATTATTATTATTAATAATAATGATGTTATTATTACTGCTGTAAGAACAGTGGTTAAGAAACAATGGCTATAAGGTGCCGTTTCTCAGAAACAGGATGGGAAAGAAGATGCCAAGGACTGAGAAGCCCTACTGACAACACAGAATGGGAGCGGGGAAGAGGAGGGTATGTCTTAAAGCTCCCCTTTGCTGTGATACCTTAAAACACTTTGGGCATGCTTACTGCAATACTATGATATCTAGTGTGGTTCCCTGTACTGCCTCATCTGCATGTTCATCCCGCTCTGTGCTGGAATTGTCCAGACTTGCTGAGCCAGAGCAGCAGCTGACTGTGCTGATACAGCTTCTTATGAGCACTAGGAAGGAGGAAAATGACTGAGAAATTTAGTCTGTAAAATAAATGAGTGATAACAGCTATGTTTAGTAAACCCTGCCAGCTGGGAGGCAATTCCTCCTGATGCACTACAGCCTCTGGACCATACTGAAGCACTGCCACTTGCTGCTGCGCAGACAGCATCTCTGGGCAACCCTCACACAAAGAAAATCAGCCAGGCAGCTGAGCCTTTCAAGTTTTTGAGGCTCCCCACTGATTCATGTCACCACTGATTTGGGGAAGAAAAGCAATTTGCCACATCTCCCTTCACTGACTGCCTTTTTCACCACATTGTCTCAAACCCTCAACATCACTGCCTGGTAAATTTGGCTTTAAGCAGGTGACACATCTTTTGTCAATTTAATTTCTTCCGTTGCACTTATATCTCATCTTCTGTGATACCTGCATCCTCTCCTGTCAACCAGTTCTTGTCACCCTGGATTATAATCCCAGGTAGTGAGGAGGATGGTGTGGCTACAGGGACAGGATGAAGTTAACCCAGGGCAAGCTTCTCAGTGGGGTAACTTTGACATAAGAAGACATATAAGAACAGATTAGTATTCTGTTAAGATGGAAGCTAGAGTGCTGGTGTTACACAACAATAGAAGGAGAAAGGCTGTGCTTCTATTACTAACTTTTTATCATTAATAACTGCTTTCAGGGCAGTGGATATGTCCTTCGAAGTCATTTCGAGTATATTCAGTGTCAGTCCTGCTCCTCGTGACTCCACTCGCTTGGCGTTGTCCATCTGGTCTCCAAATAAAGGCATTAGTACCATCGGCACCGCATTGCATATGCCCTCATAAACACCGTGTGACCCTCCATGGGTAATAAAGGCACGAGTCTTAGGGTGAGCTGTGGAGGAAAGCAAGACCTGCTTAGCTTTTGATTTCTTAAGTCATAGTAACACAGCCCTGGGGAAAAACTTGCACAAAAATGGCACTGGTAGGTATAAATCAAGAACTTTAGACTGTTGTGTGCATCACTGCTTATGGACAGACTTAGGGCTGCAGAGAACAGGACATTACAGGGGATTGAACAAACTTTGAGTTGCAGAGCTCTGCCTTGGTTTGGGGCATCTCTGGAAAGCTTTGGATAATCCTCCAAAGCTTCTCAGATTTTAGGATGAAATCAGAGCCAAGTGAGGTTAAAGAGGATGTTACCATTGCTTACTTTTCTACTCTGTCTTTCATTTGCTGGTTTTGCAAATCTCCCACAGCTGAGCCCTGCTGTCTAGCTAACAAATTCACTCCTGGCAATAGCATGTACAATTTTACCACTTGAAAAGCCCAAGGACCTGTCTGGAAATGCTCACTTGAGGACCTCAAATTTTCTTTTCAGTCCAGTAGACAAAAATGTGACAAAAACCCATGGCTGGGTGCTGAGACTGGCTAGTGAGAGGTAAAGACATCCATCTGTGACAGTAAGGGTAGTCAAGTGTTGGAACACCTTTCAAAACAGAGTTGTGTCATAGTTCAGCAATTCTGAAGTTGCAATAAGTTTCTAGAAAATAAGCTCTGGCTCAAACAGCAAAGGCTGTAAGGGAGTTCTGTGACCCACAGTGACACAGGGAGTCAGCACAGATGGTGCTAATGGGGCCTTACAACAGCAGTATCAGATTAAAAGAAACACACTGGTATCACTCAAGGTATCTCAGACCTACCTAGAAGATCATTCTGTGGCAGCCATTTGACAAGCTTTACATTTTTCGGCAGGTTGGGGGGTGCCTCTCCCGTGTATCGCCACAAAACCTTTCAAAAGAAAACACAATGTCATTTATAAGCAACCAGCCTCTTGCTGCTCCTCAGTGGGTTTGAAAAGCACAACTGAAAACATCCATGGTGCACAGAACCTGCTTCATCGTGCAGAGCAGCTGGAGTGATAGTTTCTTCTGGCATCAAGGAGCAGGTGAAAGAAGAGAGGACCAAGCACACTGGAAGCCAAAGGTAATCATGTACTGTATTTGAAAACAGTCTTGAATTGCTGTGCTGGAAGGGGAAGAGGGAGACCATACCGTTTGAGGGACTGATCCCAAGGCATCTGCGATTTCTGTGGCTTTCTTCATAGGAATCTCAGAGACCATTGAGCCCAGCGAGAAGACAACAATGCCATGTTCTCCAGAGGCATTCACAATAGCTTCAAATTCCTGCCAACACAAAGCACATCCTTAGTCAAAGTCCGTTCCATGTCATATGCTGTAATTTCTGTCACGTTCCCACAAAACTGTCTGGAAAGGCAATAAAATAAACAGTCAACACATCAAAATTATAACTAGGAAAATTAGTTATCTATATGAACATGAGTCCCAAAGGAAAAAAAATGGGTACAGGTGGATGAACAAAGTTATGAAGATGCATGAGTGCAGAATTGAAGCCCAAACCAAGATTCAGTATGAATATGAGAAAAAATTTACTTTACAAACAGTCACGTAGCAAAGCCTGCCTGCTCAAAGAAATCAGTTTCTGTGCAGCAAAAAGATGCTGTACCAATTGAGATCAATTCATCATCACAGTTTTCCTGGCAACCAATCCCCAGGTGAATACATTACGGTTTATTTTCACATTTATTGCAAGTCAGATGCTTTAGAGATGATACTCTTCTTTTCAAACTATGCAGCTGCAAGACAGAATTAAGATTCTGAAAAGTGTTCTGACAGCAGTGTCTCTAATTTCTAATATCTGGATTTATTTGGTCTGGTTTGATAATATTGAACCACTGCCAATTTTTATATGTACTGTTTGTTTGATTTAGATAAAAGGACTCAGAAATCTGTCACTGGAATCCAAGAACAAAAGGATTCTGAAGAAGCATAAAGCCATCTGAAGGCTGGAGCAAAAATTCTGTGTAACAGGAAAATATTTGATAAAGCCGAGGAAGGAAAGACAAAACTGGAGGGAATTCCTGTGGACATCAGAGTTAAATGAGTGGAATAAAATGAACTAAATGTTCCCCTAAGTCTGGCAATTGAAATGTTATCACTAGGGTCTAAGGGGATAACCAAGACTGACCTTCTCTGTTTATGCTCTATTACGTATTTTTGTGACTGATCAGAATGCCATGGCCCTTCTCTTGGACTGGATCCCAAACAGAAGAAGCCACTGGACGTTTGTTGATAGTTGCACACTAAATAGAAGACCTAGTTCTCCTGGGGGCAAACAAGGTGAAACGTAACTGTCATTTCAGGGCTTGGTTCTGTCTTACCAGGTTTCTCTGAAGGCATGCTCTTCATTCAGGTGTCATAGATGTCTGGCTAGGAACTCAGGGCTCAGCTCTGTACAAACTCACAGACACCTAGTTACTGCAAAATCTTCCCCAAATTACAAATGTCCTTTTGGTACAAAATTCTTCAGCAGTTTCTGATGCAGTGGAAGAGATACGGCTATTTTGTGGTGCATTTAGCCCTATCTATTTTCTAGTAAATAGGGCTAGTCACATAAGTTTTACTCTGTTCTTTTAATTATTTTTGTGCCAGCATCTGACTCCCTGCTCAGAAATGCCACTACCATTATGAAACCATTATTTGCAGTCCTGCTTTGGAATAGGTAGGTAGCATAAGAAAGACATGGACCTGCTTGAGCGGGTCCAGAAGAGGCCATGAAGATGCTCAGGGGGCTGGAGCACCTCCCCTGTGAGGACGGGCTGAGAGAGTTGGGGATGTTCAGCTGGAGAAGAGAAGGCTCCAGGGAGACTTTGGAATGGCCTCCCAGTACTGAAAGGGGCTACGGGAAAGGTGAGGAGGGACTCTTGATCAGGGGGTGCAGGGATAGGATGAGGGGTAAGGGATTTAAACTGAAAGAGGGGAGATTTAGATTAGATACAAGGAAAAAATGCTTCCATGTGAGGGTGATGAGAGGTTGCCCAGAAGCTGTGGCTGCCCCCTCCCTGGAAGGGTTCAAGGCCAGTTTGGACAGGGCTTTGGGCAACCTGAGCTAGTAGAAGGTGGGCTGGAACTAGGTGATCTTTAAGGTCCCTTCCAACCTAAACCATTCTGTGATTTTGTGATTTTACTAAAGGCTTTTTAACCAGCAGTTGCTTGTATTGATGGGTGTAACACACAACCTTTATGAAATACCTGCAGTGGTCACTCACTGAAAAATAAGAGAAATCACTAAGAATTAAGAGGATTTCCTAGTGGAAAGTGGCAGATATCCTCTGTTTAGGAAGTCTGGCACGGTACAAGCAAAATACAGTTGCAGTCCAGATCTGGGACAGAGTATTTTACACAAAAGAAGCAGATCTCTTGCCGTTTCACTGAGTGGTGGGAATTTAATTCAGTTCTGTCACTGTCTGGAATTCCTGCAGAAATGATCCTCTGCTCAAAGGCAGAGGACTAGGACAATTTGGCCTGCTGCATTATCCTAGCTTGCACCAAGTCTTGTAAACAGGTGTACAAAAACAAAATTACTGGAAATAGGCAGCCAGAAGATATCTGGGGGAAAAAATGGAAAATCCCAGCTTTGTATGCATATTTGTCTGGGAATCCGGAGTTATCCCAGGAAGTAACGTACTCTTCGATGCACAAGGGATGCAGAAGTGCAAAGTGCTTTCCTAGCCACTTCCACCTTGCTCTTTCCCCTGGTATTATTTGTTACTTCCAGGAGCTCCATCTCCTGGTGAGAGCAAACAGTGCAGCCATAGCAAAACTAGGGAAAAAAAAGGTAACTAACCTGTGATAATGCTTTTTCCTGAGTGCAGCTTATGCCTCCGATCAAGACCATATTAGGCATTAGGGGCCTGGGGTACTCAAACACAAAGTCGTATTTCATGAGCCAAATAGACGTGTGGCTGAACAGCTCAAGCACTGTTGCCTCTTGCTGGAGGAATTCTTTGATCAAACCATCATATGGGGAATAAAGAAAGCTGCAAGCCAGGGAACTGCTCAGGCTAGCTAAGAGATTGCCCACACGCTGGAGGAATGTCATGCGGTCCGTGTAGCGAGTGAAGAACCTAGGAATGTAAGAAGGAGGATTTGGACAGAGGGTAGCGTGGAAGTCTAGGCTGCACGGCAGTCCCCGTATGAGGTACACAGAAGGTAGGGAGAGATGTTCGGCCACTATTTGTCCACATGGAAAAAAAGGATCCATAAAGACAGCATCAAATTTGCTTTCTTCAAGGTATTTGATCAGCTCTTTGTTAGACAGAAGACGTTTGCAGGAATCAAAGAACATGGCTGTAATATTAGCCAATTTTGAGAATTTTTCCAAGAAGGGCTGAAGTGTGAAACTCCTGTGGCCCATCTTTTTTAATTCTGCCTCCACATACTCCTTGGTGTAAGACACAGAGTATGTTTTTATGGTATAATGCTCAGACAAACCTATCCGCAAATTTATCTCTGGTGCAACCACCACAATTTCATGTCCCTTCTGTCTGAGCCGCTCCACAACCGGGCGCATGCTGAGCCAGTGACTGCCATCAATAGGTACAACCAAAAGCTTTCCACCTTCAGAAAATGTCCACAGGAGCAGGAAAACCACTACCCAACAGGCAAGAGAATTAAATCCTGGATTTGAAGAAGCCATTTCCCTTGTGTTGTCAGCAAAGTTTTAAACAGTCGCAAAACTATTGCAGGGGACGAGAAGTGAATCATGGGGTACTTTGCACTTTAATCCTAACTAAGGTTAAGTGTTTAATTTTTAACGGACTGTATGTTTGTGGACAGAAATGAGGGTAATTTTTAACTGTGGGTAATGGTTGGGTTTATCATTTGTGCACATGGTGAAGGGTTTAAGCAACTGGGTGCTGCAAGGTAAAGTTGAATTCTTGAATTAATATTAGAGGATTCAAATGCTTGAGGAAAAGTGTCATGCAATTGGCCATGTATCGCACTGAAAGGCTGAACACAGTTATGAATGGGAGGTTCAACACCTCACCAAGCAATCACTATCTTATTAACATCCAGTTAATGATGAACTCTCTGCCTTGAGTCTGCTCAGCTGATTGGACACAAAACTTGGAACAAAATCTGACATTTGGATTACCTTGTGCTCTCAGAGCCTAAACAAGAAGCAATGACTGTGAATCAACAGCGAGTTGATAAAGTTTATCTTCAGATTTGTTTCTATATCATCACAGTTATCAAAGAGAAAGCCCTGAGTCTACAGTAGTAAATGTGATGTAAGCTTAGTGATAACTTCTGCTGTTGCAACACCATGGTGGTCTGAAAAACAGAATAAACTGACACCTGCACTATTTGCATTGCCCACTAGGCAGATTCAAGCTAGGGAGGGTGGGTAGTTAGTTACAAACCTGAAGATTTCTTTTTTCTAATCATCTTCTTATATGCTATCTTACATTACTTCTTACACAAATTCAGAGACAAAAGATCTCCCTCTACCATCTTTGATTGCATACCCCTGGTTTTGGGGTATTCATCTGCATTATCAGTCTTTATGGCACACTATAAGTGCCTGGGTATATATAGTTAGTTCCACATTTCTATTTTCCATCCAAGTCTCCTGCAATTAATCAGTATTTTATAAATATTAGGGATATTACATTGTATGACCTAGAATTATTTTGTTGTTTATCTAGCTACAGCATATGTGCCATGACTGTCTAATATTATGGTGATATGCTTGCAACAAGCTAAGCTACACCTAGGCAGTTACATAGCTTAGACAACTTCACCTAAGGTCTTCCAGGGAGAAGCCCTTCAGCTGCTTGGAGTGCAAGTCTTGTGATAATCTCTAAGAGCCTGAGATTCCTACTTTCCCAATCATTCCATCCCATATTGCCTCAAGCACAAATACTACTATAGGAAGCACTTTAAAAAGCAGATCTTAAATAATTGTTAAACAATGACAAACCTTTGATAATGGCTTCTTCTGCTCACAGTTGATGCCTCCAATATAGACCATATTTGGCATTATTGGGCGTGGATACTCAAAAACAAAGTCGTATCTCATCAGCCAAATTGATGCTTTGCTAAATAGTTCCAGTACTGTTACTTCTCTGTGAAGAAACTCAGAAGCTAACTTCTCGTATTTTAAATAAAACAGATAGCAAAGCAAAGGCTCTGAAAACCCAACCAGGAGGTTCTTCACACGGTCCATAAATGTCATGTGATCTGAAATGGATGTGAGAGTCCTCGGCACATAAGAAAAAGGACTGGGACACTGGGTAGCTTTGTAGTCTAAGGTACATGGA